GCTTTGTTTGAAAAACTGAAAAATAATCAAAGGTCTCCCAGACCATATTCTGGGACGAGGAAGTAAACCATTGCACTTGAGCGAACCTCGTTAAAAAACATCGTGTGTCATTTCTTTCCTTGCTCATCTTTTGTGTTCTCGATTGGTTCCTTCAGCCCTCTGTTCTTCCCCTGTTTTTCCTCTGCTGAGGTATTGTGCCATGCACATAACGAAGAAGGAAATGTTTCTGGTTTCCTTGTCAAAACAGAGACTGGGCTTGAACGGTTCAATTTTGGGTTCGGGTTTCATTAAGGTTGGAAAGTGGGCTTGGATTCTTTCGAGCCCAGACTTAAAGAGAAGGAACGTAGAGAGTCGCGAACTCTCCTCTTCGTCGTTCCCTTCTCTGGTAGTCTAATCTCAATTCAACTTACCTGAACCCTAAAATTCCACATCCTCATAGTCAATTTCAATTGGTATCAGAGCTGCTCCTTGAAGAAGCTTACTACTGCCAAGGTCAACGATCCCATGGCCTCAAGCTCCTTTGGTCATGGCGCGCTGAATCAGCTTCCTATCTTCACCGGGTCTAACTATAATGCGTGGAAGAAGAGGATGAAACAGTTTATGTGGGGGATCAATGAAGAACTGTGGTTAGTAGTTCAAACTGGTCCCATCGAGATGAAGGATGAAGAGCAAATGTTTTGGTCGGCAGCTCAGAAAAAGAGCGCTCAATTAAATCAGCGAGCAATGCATGTCTTGCAATCGGCGATGAGCCCCGATGAAGCCGACCAAGTGGAAAATTGTGCGATAGCTCAGGAAATCTGGACAACCCTGAAAAGCACATATGAAGGTACTTCGAATATCAAAGAATCTCGTATAGATCTTCTTGTTCATGAATATGAAGCGTTTAGTATGAATAAAAATGAAGGGATTCATGAAATGTATTCTAGGTTTACCGTTTTAATAAATAAGCTAAAAGGCCTGGGAAAAACGTTTCAAACCAAGGATATCAATAGGAAAATTCTCAGATCTCTACCAAGAGAATGGTTACCTAAAAGAACAGCTATTGAAGAAGCAAAAAACTTGACTACTCTTCCTGCTAGTGAACTGATAGGATCACTTCTAAGTCATGAAAATGTGCTGAAGCAAGTAGGTCAAGAAGATGATAGGAGGAATAGGAACTTAGCTTTCAAAACTAGAGCCATGGACTATGATCTGGATAGTGATCTAGAGAATGACTTTGACAAAGAATTTGCTTTAGTCAGCAAACGCTTTCATAGAATGCTGAAATTTAAGAATGAACAAAACAACGATATGATGACACTAGACATGGAGGTTATGATCGTACTAATAACTCTTCTCAAGCAAGGCTGCTACCCCAGCAGACCAGAAAAACTGAAACAGGTCTGCAAGATAAAGAGCCACAAGCTTGCTACAAATGTGGCAAGTTTGGACACATCAGAGCTCACTGCCCTTTAACCTTGAGAGCTAAGGAGAAGGCAATGAAAGCATCCTGGAGTGATTACGAGACAGATCAAGAAGATCCCGAATAAGATAATGAAGCCTTCATGGCAAGAAATGAATATGAAGAAGATGAAATGGACTCCAACACAAATGATCATTAATGGTATCTCGACAGTGGCTGTTCACACCACATGTCTGGTAAGAAGTTTCTTTTCTCCTCTTTAACCTTGGTAAATGGAGGTAAGGTGTGGTTTGGAGACAATGGTTGTGGTAAGGTTATTGGATCTGGAACTGTTGGTAAAAGCCCCTTTCCATCATTCAAAAATGTCTTGCTGGTGGAAGGGAAAAAACACAATCTGTTGTCTATAAGTCAGTTGTGTAGTAATGGTTATCATGTCTTATTTGAAACTGATGGGTGTGTTGTCAAAAGAAACAATGATGAAAAGGTGATGTTTGTAGGAAAACGTTTGAACAACATGTATGTCATTGACTTGAGTAACCTAAATGCCTTCAATGAGTTGTGTTTTGTGTCATCTTTTCAACATGAATTGCTGTGGCATCGAAAAATGGGTCATGTTAGTCTTAAAAAACTTGTCAGTTTGACTAAGTTAAGCATGGTTAGAGGGGTCCCTGTCTTGAAAGATAAAACTGATTTCTTCTGTGATACTTGTGTTAGTGGCAAACATACAAAAAAATCTTTCAAACCCAAGAAGGACATAACTACTCATGATATGTTTGAACTTATACATATGGATCTTTTTGGTCCATGTAATGTTACAAGTCTGGGTGGAAAGAACTATGTTTTTGTTCTAGTCGATGATTTCTCTCGCTATACTTGGATTTACTTTCTTGCTCATAAAGATGACACTCTTGCTAAGTTTAAGAACTTTGTGTCACTATTTGGTAATAAAATCAAAACTGTTAAAAGTGACAACGGTGGAGAATTTGTTTCTGAAGAATTTGAGTATGTTTGCAGTGAGTCTTGCATTGTTCACATCTTCTCATCTCCACGTACTCCACAACAAAATGGAGTCGTGGAACGAAAGAACAGAACTCTCATTGAGTGTGCCAGGACTATGTTGCTTGAGTTTAACCTTCCTAAGTTCTTTTGGGCTGAGGCTGTTAGCACAGCATGTTATTTGATAAATCATGTGATAGTTAGAAAAGGGATAAACAAAACGCCTTATGAAATATTCTAAAACAAGACCCCTAATCTGGCTTATCTTCATCCCTTTGGTTGTCCCTGCCATGTTCTGAACACAAAGGATAAACTGGGAAAATTCGATGCTAAATCTGATCAAGCTATATTCCTTGGGTCTTCAGTTAAAGGACAAGCATATCGTGTGTTCAATAAACGTACTAAAAGGGTTTAAGAATCTGTCAATGTAATTTTCAATGATTCTCAATCTAGTTGCAAGCAATCTGTGCAGGAAAATTAGGAGTATGACCTCTAGAAATGACTCACAAGATATCGGAGGAGCCTGAGCATTAAGAGGAAGCTGATGTAATAGAAGGACAACCCTCAGACGCCATCAACACTGAACCAATCACTACTGTCGAGGATGAATCACTCATCACTCCTCCATCTGCGCCACCTCATATACAAAAACGTCATCCAGCAGAAAAAATCATTGGCAACATTAATAATGGACTTCGCACCAGAGGTAAGTACATTCTTGGACAGTATGCCTATGTATCACAATTTGAACCAAAAAATTACAAGGAAGCGCTTAAAAATGATGATTGGTTCTTTGCTATGGTAGATGAACTAGCTCAGTTCAAAACTCTGCATGTTTGGGGTCTTGTTCCTCGTCCATTAAATCATTATGTGATAGGAACCAAATGGATTTTTAGAAACAAATCTGATGAAGAAGGTGTCATTACTAGAAACAAAGCTAGACTAGTCACCCAAGGGTACACACAGGAGGTAGGGGTTGACTATGATGAAACCTTTGCCCCTGTTGCTAGACTATAATCTATACGTCTCTTGTGTGCTTATGCTTGTTATATGGGTTTTCCTCTTTTTCAAATGGACGTCAAAAGTGCTTTTCTGAATGGAGACATTCAAGAGGAAGTTTATGTCTCACAACCTCCGGGTTTTGAGGATCATCAGTATCCAAACCATGTCTATAAACTTAGAAAAGCTCTGTATGGGTTAAAACAAGCTCCACGAGCTTGGTATGATAGACTTACATCTTTTCTCTGTCAACATGGTTTCACCCAAGGATCTGTTGATAAAACCCTTTTCATTCTCTGTCAACATGGTTTCACTCAAGGATCTGTTGATAAAACCCTTTTCATAAAACACAAGTCAAATGACATTCTCCTTGTTCAAATCTATGTCGATGATATTGTGTTTGGAGCAACAAACACTGATATGTGTTCAGAATTGTGCAACTCAATGAAAGAAAACTTTGAAATGAGTATGATGGGGGAACTGCAGTATTTTCTTGGTCTTCAAATTAAGCAAACCAGTATTGGCACTTTCATAAGTTATACCAAGTACATAGCCTCTATGTTAAGTAAGTTTGATATGATGAATCTCAATTCCAGTCCTACACCCATGGCTGTCAATTTAAACCTTGACAAAGACGAAACTGGTATTTCAGTTGATGAGTCTAAATTCAGGGGTATGATTGGATCCTTATTATACTTAACTGCCAGTAGACCTGACATACAACACAGTGTGTGTTTATGTGCTCGCTTTCAATCAAATCCTAAAGAGAGTCATATGTTTGCTGTCAAGAGAATTTTTAGATATTTAAAGGGTACAATGGATGTAGGGCTATGGTATTCTAAGCATGACTTGTTTGATCTAATTGGCTATAGTGATTCAGACTTTGCTGGTAGTCTGACTGATAGAAGGAGCACTTCAGGCAGTTGTCAGTTTGTAGGTACCTCTTTGGTCTCCTGGTCCTGTAAGAAACAAGGGGCAGTTGCCCTTTCCACAGCAGAAGCAGAGTATATAGCTGCTGGGAGTACCTGTACTCAACTGTTGTGGCTAACAAGTCAATTACAGGACTATGGATTTACCATGTCGAGCATACCTTTACTATGTGATAATACCAGTGTTATATGCATGTCCAAAAATCCAGTTCAACATTCCCGAACTAAGCACATAGAAATCAAATATCATTTTATTCGGGATCTCGTGAGTTCTGGCACAATAAATTTACAGTATGTTAACACTGAATTCCAACTTGCAGATCTGTTTACTAAGCCTCTTTCCTTTGATCGATTTTCATTCCTTTGCTGGGAAATTGGCTTACGATCTTTTGCCTCTATCACGTCTGATTTAGGAACCTAGCTTATGCTAAGTTTCCTTTTTATGTGTGTTGTAATTGCTTGATTGAGATTTGCATTGCCTTTTTCTCTTTACTGTGTGTTCCTGCTTCTTTTGATCTTTGGCTTTCCTTAGTTGTTGGGTCCGAGTCTGCCTGTTTAAGTTCTTTCCTTTAGTTGTGAGCTTAGGTCTAGTCTATTTATACTTGTTTTAGTTCCTTTATTTTTTTTCATTGGTCTTCTGTGTCTCCTTCCTGTCTTCCCCCAAAGAGTCAGCCATGGTGTATGCCTTTGCCTTGACCTACTCTGGCTCCTTTTTCCATGACCCTGTTTTGCCAAACTACCATCGTCACACTCAGTCCTTTGCCAACTGTCCCATCAATCCTTCCACCATCATAAGCCTTCCTGATTTCTTACCTCTAGGATTGGATGTGATGCCGTTTATTCAGAACCTAGGCTGGGAATTACTGCTGTCTCCTGAAGCTTCTTCTACCCTTGTGTGTCCTGAGGCTGTCAGGTTTTTCTTTTCTAACCTGCGCTATTTTGGCCTTCAATCTCGCACCCTGTCTTCTCTTGTGCATGGCCACATGATTACTCTTCCCCTGCATGATATCAGTCGTCTACTTCATATTCCTTCTTTTGGGGAGGCTCTTGCCCATCCTGCTGAACTCCCCTTATTCAATTTCGATGTAGTCTCTGAGGCAGTTCACCTCACTGGTCATGAACCTGACCAGGATCTATCCTTCTCTGCGGATCTCCTTTACCCTTCCCTAAAAGCTTTTCACTACATTTTGACCAGAGTCTTTCTTCCTCGCTCGATTTTCCTCAATCGTGTCCTTCCTCTAGATATATGGCTCTGACTATGATTAGAGTCATCTCTATTGGAAACTAGTTGTAGTAGATTCTGCTTTGCTTTGATAGGTTGTTTGTGTGAGGATCTTTGGCAAGCCTGTTTTCCTTTGGTTGTTGGACTTATTTGATGTAATGCTCAGGGGGAGTTTCGGATTGTGATTGTGTTTATATATGTCTTTTGGAGTTGGAGTTATCTTGTTTCAGTCTTTTGCTGCTTGATCCGCGGAGGAAAGGTGTTTGTTAAATGTTTGCAGGTTTGAAGCAATCTGCAATCTCCAACTTAGGGGGAGATTGTTGACTAATTCAAGTTTGAGATTGAATCTGAAAGATTGCAGTATCAAAGCCGCCATTTAAAGAATCAGGTTGCTGTCAAGGAAAGTTGCCTTTCCTGTGTGAAACGGCTAGCTTACCTCTCTCTATATATTCTTGCTGCTGATTTCGTGAGGAGGTACTTTTTGCATAAGCTCTCAGTGGCATAGGACTGAAGCTAGGAAATTGCATAAGGGGTTTGACACTCTCAGGGGTAGAGGTTCTGAGTGTGTCAAGGCAGATTAGATCAAGGCTGATCTTGGTGGTTTGTTTATCTTTGTTCTGATATTTTATTTTGTATTCTTGTCTTTAGTTTTGTTTGAAAAACTGAAAAATAATCAAAGGTCTCCCAGACCATATTCTGGGACGAGGAAGTAAACCATTGCACTTGGGCGAACCTCGTTAAAAAACATTCAGTGTCATTTCTTTTCTTGCTCATCTTTTGTGTTCTCGATTGGTTCCTTCAACCCTCTGTTCTTCCCCTGTTTTTCCTCTGCTGAGGTATTGTGCTCTGCACATAACGAAGAAGGAAATGTTTTTGATTTCCTTGTCAAAACAGAGACTGGGCTTGAACTGTTCAATTTTGAGCTCGGGTTTCATTAAGGTGGGAAAGTGGGCTTGGAATCTTTCGAGCCCAGACTTAAAGAGAAGGAACGTAGAGAGTCGCGAACTCTCCTCTTCGTCGTTCCCTTCTCTGGTAGTCTGATCTCAATTTACCTTACCTGAACCCTAAAATTCCACATCCTCATAGTCAATTTCATTATGGACCATCTTAATGCAACAGGGGTCGATATGGGTGGACTGGATTGTCAAATACAAGTTGAAGAGTAGGGACTTGTGGTCCTATGAAGGTAAATAAGGATTTTGGAACTAGAAAAGGCTTCTGATGGTATGGAGTGCGGTTCAACATCATTTCTCTGTTCGTCGGGGTCAAGTGTGGTGGGACTCTTCTGCTATGTCTTGCTTCTCTGTAAAGACCGTCTGGAAATCACTTCGGCCAAAGCTTCCCAAGGTAAGTTGGGAAAAATTGATATGGAACGGGTTGAGAGTCCCTCGAAATCGGTTCTTGGTTTGTTTAATTGCTAGAGAAAGGATTACAACAAGAGATCAGATGAAGGCTTGGGGTTACACTGCTTTTGTTGAGAGTGTGTTATGTAACAAGGGTATGGAACAGATTGACCACTTGTTTGCAGGTTGTGATGCGTATAAGGAACTTATTCGATGTTTGGTTGGTAACGTTTTTCAGGTTTCTGCGGCTACGTCATGGCAGTTTGAGCTTGCCTGTGTAGTTAAATTATTTAGTGCTCCCTCGCCTATAAACGATGTGGGGAAACTAATATGGTGCGCAATGGTTAGTCACTTGTGGCGTGATAGATGTCATAGGATGTTTGAAGGGGGAGCAGTTGTTGTGCCTAACCTTGTGGTGAGTAAAAATGCACAACCCAATCACTATCGCCACATCAGCGCTCCTTCGCTCTCCTAGAAAGCCTTTAATTTTTTCCCTTAATCTTTAACGGATGATTTCCCACTCGTTTTAAGTCAGAATTTAACTTTTTTTGCATAGTTAGATCAGATTAATTGTGTTCTTCAAAATGATAACCACTTTGATATATTTTTGGAACAAAAAAATTGAGTCATTTTTTACTAGTACATACTATATGGTATTGAAAAGCTTACCATGGTGATATGAACATACAAAGACTGTAGGATGATTGAATACATGATAGTAGGAGTATTTTTTGTTCATGTATTTTGTTCACCCAGAAATTTGGAGATCCAATAAATCATGATGAACTCGTTTATTCTGTGCAAAAATTTTCAAAAATGATTTAAAAACGAAGAAGATACCATATGGTATGCAGTTGGCAACGAGAGGCAAGAAAAAAATTCTAAAAAAACATTGAAAATGAATCTCACTTTGTTGATTACAACGATGTCGTTCCATCTGTGAAAAAAAATTGAAATTCGAGTTAAAACGAAGAAGATATGAACCAATTAAGAAAACAAGAAAAAATAAAAATGTATTTATTTTCCACCCTTAGATCTGGATTTTTCTGGACCCACTTAAATCTAATAGCTGAGATTTGGTTACTCATTGGTCAGTAACCAGGGGTTACTCGCCGTATCTAGTGCCGTTTGAAGGGGTCTCTAAAAATGTAATATCTTTGATTAAAATGATCAAAGAAGAGGTCGCAGTGTTGGTGGATGAGTATGTTCTTTTGTAGTTTTGGTAGCAGCTTCAGCAGCTCTTATCCGGGGTAATAGATTACTTTCATTTTTGTCACCACAGTTGATATAAATAGTCATAATGGTCCCTAATTGGTAAGAAATGTTGCCAATTGTTTTTTTTATGATATAACATTTCCTATTTATTAAAAAAAAAAAAGAATGCAACATGTTAATGTAATATCTTAATTTATTTATTTTTTGGATTATAGGTATAATATGCCCCTCTACTATGTCGTTTTATCAAACATGCCACTCTACTATTTCTTACATCAAATATGCCCTTCTACTTTGGAAAAATTACCAAACATTGCCTTCTTTTAAAATTTCCATAAAAGACCGTTAACCACGGCCGAATTTTGGTTTGGGCGACACAAATGTCTCAACTATCCATAATAATTTTACTTTATATTTTTTTTGGTTCCTTTATATAGTTAAATAATTCTAATATTTTCACTTTGACGAGACAAAAAAAAAGTTGACAAAACTGACATTTCCTCTCCCATTTGCCGATGTCAGGTCGTCTAAATATCGGTTCAATCATGATTGACGATTTTTTCAATGGAAATTTTCACCAAAGTGCATGTTTGATAATTTTTCCAGAGTATAGGGGCATTTTTTTTATAAAACGACATAGTAGAGGGGCATATTGTACCTAGAATCCTTGTTTTTTCAAATAGTATCATATATATATATATTATTCACCGAATTATATTATTAACAATAAAACTTTATATTCATACAATAATAATATTATTATTATATGAAATCTGCCACCCAAGAACAAACAAAATCTAGAAAAATTATTAGGTAGCCGAGATACAATCTAAGCCCACTCAATTAACTATCGCAAAGCTAAATCTAGGAAAAATGTATGCGGTCGTCCGAGCTCCCGCATCCTGAGACACTGTGAATTTCATATAATGGATTCAATTTTCATCCAACTCATTCATAACCATGAATTCAAGAAATTAGTAGGATAATGATATTAATAAGTTTGGATTACCATCGTTCATCTCCGAAAACATATTAGTTGGGTGGTTAAAAAAGTCAAAACAGTCAAAACCAATTCACTTCACAGTCGAAGATGGTTAGAGAAGGTAGACGAAAAAATGGAAGAGAGGTTGTGTTGCGACGGTGAGAAAGACAGATGGAGGACGGTGAGAACGATAGGGTTAGCGGGGTGCACTGCTGGAGGAGAAGGACAATGACATAATGAACGAGGCGGGATTGGGTGGTCGCCGCGGAGGACGACGGTGGTGGAATGGGGTGTTTTTTGGCGGAGGACGGCGGTGGATTGGGTGGATGCAGCAAAAGACTTCCAACGGCTCAGAGGAGGGTACTATGCGTGCGGGAAACCGCTTGTTTCTCCCCGTTAGCCCCGCCGCCTTTTTCACCGCTCACCAAGCGTTCGCCCGCCGCTTAGGTGCGAGTTCGAAGATAACTGGATCCAAGCTTTTCCGAATTGCAGTTCCCGGCTAGAAGAATAGTTAGATTATCAGGGGATAATTCAAAATATTTCAATCTCCCGCATTCACAATAGGAAGAAGGAAAACAGAGATGGAATGACATCGTTTCCGGTGTGAATTAAAAGCCTCAAGAACGGCAACCTACTAAGAGAACAACAATGTTCCAAGTCTCAACCCCCTACCTACACACACAAATTAGGTACGTGTTTCAATTTTTACTTTTTATTTTTGCTTTTCATCGTTAACCAAAAGAAGAAGAAAAAAACAGAAACGGCCTTCTTGAGTCTGTGCATTCGCCCGGACATGAAATTGCCACCAGGAATGAATTCAAGGGGATCCAACCCATCAAATCGATTAGCGGAATGCACCTACTGCGAGAAACTTGGACACACAAAAGAAAAATGCTACTCCAAACATGGATATTCCCCAAGCTCAATTAGAGCTTGAAGAGGCAACACTAAGGGCAGACAGTATGCAAATGCAGCACCAGTGGTTGACTCAAGCAATACACAAGAAGAGTTTAAGCTGACTAAGGCAGATCATGAAATATTAATGAGTCTAATGAGCACTAAGTCTCTGTCAACTAGTGGATCAATCTTCCCAGCTGCATCTTTTGTCAACAAAGACTCAGAATGTTAGGTAAACTTTCTTTCAGTTCTCAAGCTAAACTGCCTTATAGCCAAGCTTGGATACTTGATACTGGGGCTTCAGATCACATAGTATGTTCTCTTAGCCACCTGCACAACTATAGAAGAGTTCACAACGTGTACATCACCCTACCAACTAGACAACAAGTCCAGGAAACACACACATGAACTGTCAAATGTGTTGCAGACCCAGTACTTGAGGAAGTGTTGTTTGTCCCCCAGTTTAGTTTCAATCTTGTGTCAGTAAGCAAGCTGACCAAGAATAAGTCCCTTTGTTTGACATTCTTCTCTGATGTATGTTTGATTCCGGACATGCAGCTGAGGAGGATGACTGGTTCTGCTAAGATATTTCATGAC